ATACCGTCTCCAGCGAGAAAATCAAAGCATTTGACCTTCTTCCTGAACAGATCAAAGACCAGGTCTTGAGCGATTCCGTGGCAAGAAAATGCGAACTATTGGACGACCAGCATGTCGAAGATGCCTACCCCTGCACGCCAATCCAAGAGGGCATGATGGCTTTGGCCGAGAAACAGCCTGGATCTCATGTGGCTAAATATGTTTATCGTCTGTCTGACTTTGTTGACGTTGACCAATTCCAGACGGCGTGGGAGCAGACCATACTTCATTGCCCTAATCTTCGTACCAGAATCATCCAATTGCAGGGCAAATTTGTGCAGCTAGTACTGAACGATGATCCTCAGTGGGAACTCACATCTGAGGATGTCGGCAATACAGTCAAGGAAATTTCTTCCCATGAAATGCGCTCTGGAACCAGACTCAGCCGTCATGGCCTCGTTACTACAGAAAATGGCACAAATTATTTTGTCTGGGCTGCTCACCACTCCATCTATGACGGATGGTCGTCCCAACTCATTCAGCGTACCTTGTTCAGCCTCTACCATAATCTCCCCGTCGCAGATGTATATCCCTATGTCGGTTTCATTAAATACATCAAGAGCGTCAGCGAAGACTCCTTCATGCAGTATTGGTCCAAGCAACTCCACGAGGCGAAGCGTCTCTCTTGGCCTCCCGCAAGCCCCAAGTCAAACTCCAGATCAGCTAATCCTACCAAGATTCACTTGGAGACTATGGATCTACCTGTCTCCGAAACTAGCACTGTGACGAAAGCCACTATCGTCCGCGCTGCTTTGGCCTTGGTGCTTTCTCGATACTCAGAGGACAACGACGTATGCTTTGGAACCAGTATATCCGGCCGCCAAGCTCCTGTTTCCAACATTGACAACATGTGTGGAGCTGCGATTGCAACAGTACCCTTACGTATACGTATCGACGAAAAGCAATCGATTGACCAATACTTGACATCTGTTCAGGGCCAGGCGATTGGCATGATTCCTTACGAGCAGTATGGCCTACAGAGGATCGCGAAGCTGTCCAGGGAGGCAGATGACGCTTGCAAATTTTCTTGCTTGCTCGTCGTCCAACCTTACCAGCAGATGTCCCGTCTTGCAGGCGAAGCACAGTCAATTTTTGCCGCAGACGACTCCGGAAGCCTCACCCTTGAAGACAGCATGGAGGGTTACTTCACCTATCCCCTCGTATTCCAGGTCCTTGTCGGTGATGGACGGTCAAACCTAACAATCACATACAACAGTGACATTCTCAGCAAAACCAGTGTGGAAACCCTAGTCTACCACTATGGCAACGTTGTGCAGCAACTCCTGAGCAAGCAGAACTCATCCGTACAATCTGTATCACTTGCCGGCGCATTGGATGTGGAGAAGGCTCTCAGCTGGAACAAGCACTCCACTGAAGTTGTCGATCGCTGTTTCCATGACCTTTTCGAAGAGCGTTCTCGTAGCCAGCCAAACGCAGTGGCTATCGACGCTTGGGACGGGAAGCTGACGTATGGTCAGCTCAACAGCGCCGCAAATCGCCTAGCCCACTACCTTGTCAATGTGCACTCTGTTCGTCCTGGCAGCATTATCCATGTCTGCTTTGAGAAGTCTGTCTGGTATATTGTTTCCATTATAGCTATCAACAAGGCTGGTGGTGCCTGGGTGCCTCTTGATCCCTCCCATCCTGAACAAAGGAAGAAGCAGATCATCAAACAAACCGGCGCCAGAATCGCTCTGGCATCATCGGAAACAACCAAGATGCTCAGCTCACTGTTGGATACAGTCGTCGAAGTCTCGCCAGCGCTTGGACGCGATCCGGCAATGCAATCAGCTGATTCCAGACAAGGACCGGCTGTGGAAGTGTCCATTTACGACCCCGCGTATATTTTGTTCACATCTGGAAGTACAGGCACTCCCAAGGGCTATGTAATTCAGCATAGGGCTCTTTGCACGAGTCAAACCAACATTCCCCACTACATCGAGCAGAGTAGGTCCTCGAGAGTGCTGCAATTCGCATCCTTTACCTTTGACTGTGCGATCGCGGAAATCATTGGCTCCCTACTTCGTGGATGCTGTATCTGTGTGCCGGATGATGACACCAGGATGAGCGATCTTCCCGGTTTCATTGAAGAATATAAAGTCGACTGGGCATGGCTGACGCCGTCGCTCGTACAAACTCTGTCTCCAGAAAAGGTCCCAAGCCTCAAGGTTATTGTATTGGTAGGTGAAGCGGTAACGCAAGACATCTTGAACCGCTGGTTCGGCAAGGTCCGCCTAATCAACCTATGGGGTCCTGGAGAAGTGGTAGTAGGAAGTACCTGGCATGAATATTCCTCCATCAATGATGTACCGACGAATATCGGCCGCCCACGCTGTGGATACACGTGGATTGTTGATCCTCAAGATTACACTAAGCTGGCTCCTATCGGAACGGTTGGTGAGATTGTCATCCAAACGCCGACAATGCTTCGAGAGTACCTCAACAACGATGAACAGACCCGCAACACTATCATTCCGATCTTGCCAGACTGGGCTCCAAAACAGTCTGATTCTTCATGGAACCGCTTTTATAAAACAGGTGATTTAGCCTCGTTTAACGAAGATGGCACCATCAATTTCGTCTCTCGAAAGGATACGCAAGTCAAGATCCGCGGTCTTCGTATTGAGCTGGGCGAAATCGAGTTCCATATCCGAGAGTCTCTAGAAGGTGTTCAGCAGGTTGGCGTCGATGTCCTCAAGACGGACATAGGTGTTCACCTCGTAGCCTATTTTTGCTACAACAATAAAATGCGGTCAAATCATCAAGATGACGTCTTCCTCCCCTTGAACGCCAAGCTCCAAGATGCCATTCTGAAGTTGACTGGTAGCCTGCACCTCGTCCTACCTTCATATGAAGTCCCGACGATCTTCATTCCGTGTAGCTATATGCCAAGCAATACATCGGACAAGTTAGATAGGAGAGCATTGAAGAGCTACACCTTGAACCTGGGCCAGGAAATAATAGCCAAGTACTCGCTATCCAATGCGGAAAAAAGAGCACCTGAGACAGAGATGGAAGTTCGCATGCAGGAACTTTGGGCCGCGATTCTCAACATCCCAAAGGAGACTATTGGCCGAGATGATAACTTTCTGAGAATTGGAGGTGACTCCATTCTGGCTATCCAACTCGCATCAGCAGCTCAAGACATGGGTATGAAAATCACAGTCGGAAACATCTTCCAAGACTCACGACTATCATCCTTGGCCACTGCGGCCTCTACAGGTACCCAGTATTCATCAAAAACCGTCAAACCTTTCAGCCTGCTTCCGCACAACAGTACCGTGGCAGAACTTGCTTCGGAACTCCAGCGCCTGGGAAATCTCCCCGAGCCACCGACAATAGAAGATGCATTCCCAACCTACCCACATCAAGATGAGATGATGAGCGCCACGGCAAGTCGTCCTGGCGCTTGCGTTCATAAAAGGATTTATAGAATCCCTCAAAATATCGACGTTGATCGCTTCAAGTGGGCATGGGATCAGACTGTTAACTACTTGCCACCTCTAAGGTGCAGGATCGTACCCTTTCACGGAATCAACATCCAGGCCATCATCAAGGGTCATCAAGAATGGGAAGAAAATCCTCAGCCACTGGGTGTCAAAAGCTTCTTCCAAGATACGGATATAGTATCAACCATGGGATTCGGAACCTTGCTTTCCAGGTATGCTATTATTGAAGAGAACGGTGACCGCTTTTTCGTCTGGATACAGCATCACGTACTGCTTGATGGCTGGAGTTTGTCAATGGTTTTGGGGGCTGTGTCTAACTTCTACTATAACGTCGCGGCCGCACCTATTTCAAACTTTGCCAACTTCATCCAATACACCACGGAGATCGACAAGGCTCAAGCTGTCAAATTTTGGAAGACCGCACTCGAGGGTCTCAAGCAATCACGATGGCCGCAAAGACCACCCCCCACAAACGACTATGGGGCCTATGAATTGACCTTTACCAACATCGAGGTGTCAAATCAATCAGCGTTCACTCTCGGTACTATCCTTCTTGGTGCGTGGGGTCTTGCCATTCGACACTTTGATAATCATGATCGCGACGTCTATGTCATGCGGCTGTCTTCTGGACGACAAGCACCGGTGGCCAGAATCGAGAATGCTCCGGGACTGTGCACCGTTGAAATGCCAATGCCAGTACGCATTAAGAAGAGTCAACCCATATCAGAGTTCCTATCAGAGTTACAGAACCATTGCTCTGAGAGTGTCCCATATGAACACTTCGGCGTGGAGAACATTGCCAACCTCTTACCTGAAGATGAGATTGATGACATTCTTGACCCATCCACCTTGATGATTCCTCATGCGGTACAAACCTCCGGTACTGGCGAGAATACCAATGTCGCCAGCTTAATGGAACACGCGCCTGAAGTGTGGCCACCAGAAGAGAGCATCAGAGGCTTTACGACCAGCAATCTATCCATGCATTGTCAACTCAGGCAGGATAGCATCCAAATCTCTGCTTCCCACCGCGCCAGTGTCCTCAGCAGTGCAGAGGTTCGAGCTCTCTATGAATACTTAGAGTCGGCAGTTGTTGCAATGTGCGAACATCCGGAGAAGAGCGTTTCGGAACTCATTGATCACCTTGACTCCAAGCATCCATTGATCTAAGCCATGTCCACCGTTAGTGTGGTCCAATCCACGAGTTGGCCATTCTACAAAGTTTCGGCGCTTTTTTATCCATCTTATAACAGATGAAATTCATTAGAGTATTATTATATATTTATCTCTTCAATCAAATATAGAACAGAACTCGTTATGTATGAGCCCCCTAGTGAATCTAGAGGCTTGAAATTTAGGCCTCGTATATTCACAGGGAGGTTGTCTAGTTTTGTAAAAAGAAAAAAATAAAATCATTATTAGTTAGATAACTTGCTGGTTTTTCTAGATATTCCACTTTACAATGGACTAACTTATTACTTTCACTTATCCAATCCACTCAGTGCCGATTTATCATCCAAGATCCGAGATTCCGACCAAGGTTCGACATGCTCGTTGAACCCAATCCGTAGTGGCCGCGGGGCTATCCGGGCTATTCCTGAGCTGTGTATAGAGCATGTGATATGGGAACGGAAGATCGCGTACAACATTGTAGCGGTCTAAACAGTCACCCATCTTTCTGAGAATCATGGCCTCAATAGGGATGTGGTTGTTGCCTTCGTAGTTGCGAACAGCGCATAAGATAAGAGTCTTCGCGTAAAGGTACGGTCTCATAATATAGACCTGACAAGTGAACATATTATAACGACCATAGCCCGCTGGTAAGTTTGGGATCTCCGATGCGCTACTTCCCACATCAGGATCATGGTCAGGAAAGATTCGGTTTTCTGCGCTAACAAAGTCCTCGTTCAAGAACGCTACCGGTGCTCCCGGTTCAAGAGTGTCTTCAAGAGGTCCCCTTCCCCACAATACCCTTCGCTGGCGTACAAGACCAACTAAGATCTTCTCTTCTGCTTGTTCAGAATTCTGAGTTCTTGGCGGTTTCCAGAGGAAATGCGCTTCGGAGTGACCCAAGTCGAGGTCTATGGGAGTTGTTTCCTCGCAGCACCCTCCCGAAGCTGCAGCGAGAATTTCCTTTGCGATGTCAAACTTCAGATCCGAGACAATAACATCGACCGTTCTTTTTCTTGCCGTTAGCTAAACAATACTTTGATTCATTATACGGGAAACTCACTTGATATTAAACGTAGGGTCCTCATTGACGTAGCCGTACACATCCATAGCAGCTTGATTCCATAGCACGCATGAGATTCCCTTGTTGCTTAGCGTTTGGGTGACTTCCTTCGCGATCTCTTGGATTTTCGACCCGGGTTCGAGCCAGCTTGTGGCCATGGTTTCGGTCGCGCTTCTAGTTTTCAGTACCTGAGCAAGGAGGGATCCTGACTTTGTGGTACAGTAAGAATGTGACTAGGAGATCAATCAAATGTGCAGACAGTGTGAGAAGCAACAGCACAAGAAAATTCAGAGCGAAAATGGGTTTTTATATCCATTTCAGTGCACGTCCGGCATCTGACCTCGAGATCGCTTGCGCCGCTGAGAATCATACAAAGATCTTTTGAGTTCCGACGAGCTCATTAAACAATGAATAGAGTACATAACCAATGATAACCACGAATTTTAGTATCTCTTAGGATGATTGCCATCCTTTTAACTCTTTTTCGAACTACTAGATACACTGTCTCCGTTGGCATTCACCCCAGATCCTCAAGGACCAGCTCCTGGAAAGATATTCATAGCAGTCAGTAGATACCTCACCTACTGCTAGTCGATTTGATTGACAACGAAGCTCTTTTAGATATGTTTTGCCCTTGTGGTTGGGGTCTGATGACTCCTAATACATCAGTTTGCCCTCAACTTTACGCAGTTGTTCTAGATCACACACTCTATGTTCATTCTGAAGGTCGGTTGGTCATTACTGCTTAGAATAGCCCAAGGTTTCTCTTATTGCTTAGGATTGGAAAGTATCCTTGTTTCGCATATAGTCACGGAAGCTTTGTGATGGGCGCAGGAGGTCAGTGCCAGTCTTTGCTTTGTGTAGTATTTCCCCCTTGTTCATACAAGTCGAATGCGTTGGGTAAACTAATGGTATTTACCAATAGAAATCAAAGACACGGTAGATTTTCAAGAAAAGTTAAAACTCCAGTATATATCGTTGTCGTACGGTCGCATCTAGATGTCACAAGAAGGAGAGATTATGTCGTGCGAGCCCTGGACCAAATCATGCTAAAGGATTACTCACGGTGTTAAAATGCCGATGGATAGCTATCAAATAGCTCTAAGGGTTCTAGTAGAGCTGCATATGCACTGCACGTAAATGGCTTGCTGGACCTGAAGCTACCTAGGTAGAGAGAAAAGAGACGCCTTTTGCAAGGGTCTATCTCGATGAAGGCAATTTGGAACAAAGCAGTAGGCTTCTATGCCTTAAATAAGCGTTACCTAAGGCTTGCACCTGTTTTAAATTTTCAGTTAAATCTGGCAGCTAGTAGTGGCCAATAATGGTTGGTGGCACGGTCGCGTTATGCGTGGGGGACATTCTGATGTTGACGCCCTCATTGTAATAAGGTATTCGTACCTACCAAAAACCACCTGAAAACCTGAGCACCTCCAGGTACCTAAAGTGCAGTCCAGATTCTTCTAATGGGGGCCTTCAGAAGCCCAAGTTACATGTACCTTGTACCACGTCAACGCGCGGTGGTTGCCCCCTCAGTAAGGCAGAAACTCGCCATCCAATGTTTTCTCATGCTCAGCTTCAACTCACTCTGCTGCAGTCACCGTGATTTCCCATGCAACACCTACGACCAACGTCGTCTTCTCATTCTCCCTTACCGCGTTTTCTTACCGCGAAATTGAATGATTCTTGTTAGGCTGCCTTCCAGAGCTAGTCCATAATGAACGGCATACCAAAAGAGCTGTGAGTAGACCTCGACATACATCTGCACGAAGCGTTTTCCAGAAATTGACCTTGAAACAGCGTCGCGTCGTCCGGGCAATTTCGCTTCTTCGTCGGCCCCGATGCCAAAGAATATACCATCCACTCCGATCTCGTTGCTCTCCAATCTCCGGTGCTCAACGCCTTGGTGGGCGGAGGCTTGAGCGAGTCGATTACTCAATCCGTGAAATGGGATGATATCGACGAGCCATCTTTCCTCAGCTTCTGGGAATTCGCATACACGGGAGACTACGACGTCTCAGACGTAGCCTACAGCGGCAGTGGCTCTAATGATCCGAGCTCCAGCGACGACGACAAAGAGGCCACAGATGGTCAGGACGAATCATCTTCCAGCGGAGACGAATACGGCCACGAAGACGAGGCAGAATGCGAACAACAAGGAGTGTGGGGTATTCAGGGATTGTTTTCATCAAAAGCCAGGAACCTACACCGTCCCGCGATGACCTGGAGTGAATATGTGCTTGGGACGGAATATCCGCAAGATGTCAAAGCCGGAGACTACGCAGGCGCAGTCTTGCATCACGCACGAGTCTACATCCTGGCAGATCGCTACGCTATCAATCGCCTTATGAATCTGGCAATCCATAAGCTGGGCACAGTGATGAAAAACTGCGCCAGGCCCGAAGACAAAACGCAGGGCATCATGGCATTGCTGCAACTCTGCTACACGGATTTCGTGCCTGATCGATTAACACGCCTTGCAACTCACCATGCTGCCGACATCATTCTTCACTTGTGGGAGCTCGAAGAATTTCACGGGTTGCTCGATACGCACGCCACTCTATCGAAGACAATGTTGGAGTTGTTTTTGCCCGTGGCCAATGAGTCTACGAGTGAGATGGATGATTCTCCCGTGCCCAATGAGTCTACTAATGACCCTGACATGAATGAATTTTTCGCTAGTTTCCCTAGCCGTATCCATCCGCCGGGCACGTCTTCAACTTCAGGATAGTGATCGAAGTGAAAAGTAACTTCCCTAAGTCTACGCGGCTAAAATAAAGAGGCATCAAGCCATGAAAGTGAATTGCAGTGGACTTCACTGTTATGAAAATGCCCTATGGCCCCCCTTTTTCTGCTATTGGCTGCCTGGACTTCTTCCGTGGGTACTCACATGCCGGTCAGCTTTCATATGCTTCGAGTTGTTTTACCTGTGCCTTTTCTTCTCCTGTCGTCGAGAGAGACTAAGTGGACTCATATACCATGCGGTTGTCTCGAGTGTCTCTCTAAGACGAACGTTTGATTAGTTTGTTGGTATTTAGCTGCTCAAAATTGCACATCATTCAAAACCATTCAGTACAGGAGAGGTGATCAGAATTTAATGAGAGTGTGAATCAATCTGTGTCGGTACACGTCCCATACTTTTTGACATAGATCTCTTTGCAACTTGCCTCTGCGTCCGTAACTGATATCCTACTACGCCACAAAGATCGCTCGAAGGACGGAAAGAGAAATGTAACGATATCATCCGATGTAGATTCCGCAATGACGTTCTGCCGGATTTTCTCACTACCAGTTCACAGCAGTGTACATCTCTCAAAATCCAAGGACCACGGACGCGAAAGGTTTACTATTCCGGATCGCATAGAGGTGGTATTGCCCAATTTCTTACAGAGTGCGCGTATTTCGGGAGGCCTCATCTATCCACCCGGAACATGGTTTATGGCCTTGCTAAATTAGGACATGAGTTGCAGTCTGTCGACAATGACGACGAGCGATTTTTTGCCTAGGAGGCCTCAATCTTCTGTGCATGCGCTCTCGTTCTCGACTTTGCGCATACATTGCTAATTACGAGAGAAGGATGGCGGTTGGCATGGTCAGTTGGTTGGAGGCCTCAACACTGCCCCGCGCCCGTCTCGCAGAAGGTTTCGGGATACACTGTTCTCTATCAATTCTTGTATGTGAAAGTTGGTCTCATTTAACAAATAGCCATCAGGCGAAGCAGTGTGGTGCTATGCTGCCTTCTCATCAGGTGGGCGTATATAAGTCCAGTGACTTCCTAGAGCCATGATCCTTCTGGAACATTTACGTATGCCCTCACACCCCCATTATCCCACGTCCAGTTTCAAAAATGAAGACCACGGAAGGCAAAGTAGTTTGGTGTGAGGGTGATGAAGAATCCGGTCACGGTCTCCGCGAGGGACGGGGAACCGCGGAACGCCCTCAATGGCGGTCTCGTTCTTCCAGCCGCCACAGAATCATTGAGCCCGCTACAGATCTCCCCATCATTTACCGTACCATGTATGTGCAACTTTTTAAGCTTTTCTTCTCTTAAGACCTTGTGTCTCGATCCTGGATATAGGGTTGACTAATGGAAATGGATGCAGCTCTCAAGACATTGAAGAGGCCGAGAGAGCCAAACAGACCGAGCGCGCCAAGGCGATAGATGCAGTGGTTTTAAGTACAACATCTTTCCATGAATCTCACATGTACTGAAAAACATAATCTAATGACTGAACGGCTAGAGTTCGAAAGCATTGACTGGCACAAGCTGACACCAGTAGAAATTGAAAAGCGACTGCAGGCAGATTTAGCCGATGGTCTCTCACAGCTTGATGTCTACGACCGCCTTGCGAAATATGGAGAGAACAAGATGTCTCGTCTCCCCAATCCCTGGCTCTTTCGAATATTTGGCTACTTCTTCAAGGGATTTGGATCCATCCTATGCATTGGTGGTATTCTCGTTCTCATATCCTGGAAGCCGCTCGGTGATCCCCCCCGGGTTGCGAACTTGGCACTTGGAATTGTTTTATTCTGCGTTTTTCTCATCCAGGCTGCTTTCAATTTCTACCAGGATTGGTCCACCTCGCGTGTCATGCAGTCCATGACCGCTTTGCTTCCAGAGTCTTGCCATCTCATTCGCGAGCGAGCACTGATTGAGGTCAGTGCTTTGAACGTGGTCCCTGGCGACGTCCTCCTCCTCAAGGCGGGAAACAAGATTCCAGCAGATTTGCGATTTCTTCAGGTGTCTCATGACATGAAGGTGGATCGTGCGGTGCTTACTGGTCAGTGAGCCCTGCAGATAGTATGTTTATACGGACTCTTTTAACAATTTTGTAGGCGAATCAAGACCTGTGAAGGGTATTGTTGACTCGGATAGTGACAACTACCTTGAGACACACTGTATTGGTCTTCAGGGAACGCACTGCGTGTCTGGAACGGCCATCGGCGTCGTAGTTGCAACTGGGAATTCGACCGTCTTCAGTCAAATTGCGAAACTGTCCAGCGAACTCAAACCAACCCCCACACCCATTGAGAAAGACATCTCAAGATTTGTTCTTATTATTTCAACAATTATGATCGCTTGGATACTGATCATTGTTGCTGTGTGGTCTGTCATTATTTGCCCATCCGTTCCGTCTGAACCATGGATGAAATTTGACTGACTGGACGTAGGGCTGGTTGGCTTCGAAAAGAGCACCCCGACTGGCTAGGCGTCCCCGCTCTCATCGTGAGCTGTGTGAGTGTCGCGATTGCCTATATCCCGGAAGGCTTGCCTGTTGCGGTCACCTCCTCCCTGACAATTACGGCGAGCTTGATGAAGAAAAATGGTGTTCTTTGCAAGTCTTTGAAAACTGTTGAGACTTTGGGTGCAGTATCCGTGATTTGTTCAGACAAGACGGGAACATTAACCAGGGTGGGATGCCATTAACTTCAACTTATCTGGCTGCCATCATCTCAGACAACTAACACGAATGACGTAGAATAAGATGTTCGTTACCCACTGCTCCGTTGGCACGACGGCACACACTCCCGATACGGCCAAGGAGGCTCTGATGTGGAATGAATCAGTAGCCGTCGATCAGTTACGCGCTGTTGCGGCCCTCTGCAACGACTCAACCTTTGACAGAGACACCGCCTTCCTCCCTTTGGCTGAACGATCGATTTTCGGTGACGCTACGGACCAGGCCGCTCTCCGGTTCTCAGAGAGCTTAGGATCAGTGGCCAACTTGCGCAGCGCCTGGAAACACTGCTTCCAGCTAGCTTTCGACAGTAAAAACAAGTTCATGGCGAAGGGGTCTTTCGTGACGGACTTGAAGGGTCTCGGGCCTTGTATCAGCAATTCCGAGAAAGAACGGTTCGATAGTACCCGCAACATGTGAGTGCATTTGCATGTATTCATGCTTAGTCCATTTCCGTGCTCTCATCAATCTGAATATTTACAAGAGGAGGCTAACATTCATGAAGGCTGCTCACTGTTAAAGGAGCCCCTGATATCCTCCTCGATCGATGCACCCAGTACGTGCAAGAGAACGGGAAGATTGAGGTTCTGTCCAAAGACGTTGCTGCAGACATTACAAAGATGAAAAATAGGTGGGCGTCTGACGGTAAGAGAGTCATATTGCTGGCCAGGAAGATCATTTCGTGGGATGAGACCGCGTCGGCATCTCCGACATATGACTCGGGAAGGTGTGTGATCAAAGAGCTCGGAAGCAATCTAGTATTTGTGGGATTGCTTGGACTGGTCGATCCTCCTCGGGATGAGATACCTGAGGTGATGAACACTTTACGTGGCGCTGGAATCCGGTCCTTCATGGTATGTCTTCTCTGCCAATCTGGTTCCTCTTGAATTATCACTTGGCTAATCTCATCGATAGATCACTGGAGACTTTTATCTCACTGCTCTGGCTATTGCTCGCCAATGCGGCATGGTAACTCAACATTGTGTTCATGATATCTCCTTCTTAGCTCGCTTTCCCCAACGAGTCCCCAACCCAGAAGCAGCAATGCCCCAAGCTGCTCTATCACTGGTAGGAAGGGACCTCATGAAACTCAATGATTACCAATGGACTCAGGCATGTGCGTACCCCGAAATCATATTCTCCCGGACAACACCAGATCAGAAACTCCGGATCGTTCGTGAGCTCCAGGCCCGGGGACAAATCGTCGCCATGACCGGTGATGGAGTCAACGATGCACCGGCCCTCAAGGCGGCAGACATCGGCATCAGCCTCGCCAGTGGATCCGATATTGCTATCGCAGCTGCCGATATGGTTCTTCTTGACTCTTTCGCCGCGATTGTGGAAGCTGTACGTTACGGACGCCTTGTATTTGACAATCTGAAGAAGGTCATCGCGTATCTTCTGCCGGCAGGCTCATGGTCTGAGTTCTGGCCGATCTTCACCAGCGTTGTCTTTGGGCTTCCGCAGATTCTCTCTTCATTTTTGATGATTATTATTTGGTAAGTGAAACCAATCACGTTCTTCCTTGTGTCAATCCAAAATATTAATCATAGCGATCGTAGTTGTTGCACCGACTGTATCGCCGCTATTGTGCTCGCCTACGAGAAACCTGAAGCAGATCTTCTCTTACGCCCACCTCGCAATCCCAAGACGACCAAGCTTGTGGACTGGCAGTTGATTTTCCACGCCTATGCATTTGTTGGTACGATTGAAACAGTGGCATCTTTCTCAATGGCTTACTGGTATCTTGAGAGAAATGGAATTCATTTCCGTGATCTCTGGTTCAAGTTTGGGGAGCTTCCCGCCGGTATCGATCCTGACTACTACCAGTCCCGCCTGAACGAGGCCAGTTCCATCTACTTTATAAACCTCGTCATCATGTAAGTTTTCTATAAGCTGAGCGGCTTGTTCTAAACCATCAAATGCTGACTGTTGGTATTGCTCCGGCGTAGGCAATGGTTCAACTTGATGGCGGTCCGTACCCGCAAGCTGTCCATTTTCCAACATCCCCCAGCTTTCAACAAAGATACCCAAAATCTTCTTCTCTGGCCTGCTATCTTGCTTACCCTTGGTGTGGCTGTTATTTGGCTCTATATCCCCCAATTACAAGCGGTGCTTAACACTGGTGGGGTGCCAGTCGAACACTACTTTCTGCCGGCTGCGCTTGGTGTTGGACTTTTATGTCTCGACGAAGGGCGTAAAGCTTGTGTTAGGCGCTGGCCAGGAGGCATACTTGAGAAAATGGCTTGGTAACGTAGTGAAGCATGAGGTCAAACTCTTTGTAAGATATCGAAACGCAGATTAATCGAAGAAAAAATCGATTAGTTCACAACAATTCAATTTACACAACTGTTGGCTACTACTGCACTATCTCTCCAAACATCTTTCATCTTCAATCCACTTAGATAGAGGCCAAGTAGCGAGACAGTCATATCGTTGAGTGGACTGTTTTCGGTGCTATTGTTCACAGCTATGATAAATGCCACCAAAGTTGGCCACAGCTGCCTCCGCCAACGCCTGGTCGCTTCTTCACTTTCGAAGTCATAATTTCGAGCAAGCAACCGCGCCAATACCATCCCAGTATATAAAACCCACGAACGCAAACTCCAACGGACCAGTTTTGCCCTTGCGGCAGGCGAGAAATGCAAGACTTTTCGCTTTGAAAGTACATTTGCGTTGTCTGCAAGGTGGAATGAGAGAATGAACAGCAACTGAGCAAAGGCAGTCGAAACGTCAATAAAGCCGCGTGCAGTCCCCAGTTCCGAGCCACTTTCATGACGGAGCGTCACTTGTTCTCGAACGAGCTTTTTGATAGACTGATAAACACCTAACGAGCCTCGGAGCCTCAGAATGGCGCGAACCTGTGTAAGCGTGGAAAGCATCTCCTTGGAGCTATCTTCGAGTCGACAAAGCCACTTGACCAGGTGCTTATTTGGCTGCGTTGCATGCCTGAGTCCAACTACATGCGGAGTCGATGTCCAAGCAATAGCGGTCTGGAGTAAATTTTTGGATACTCGTAGCGAGAAAAATACGAAAAGTAGCAAAACATCGTTACCCGCAGAGGTCCTGATGCATTGATAAATCCTAGCAAGGCCACGATCAAGATGGGTGCAATAGGTAGAGAGCTGAATCTTGGGTATTGATGAGCGAGAATCCTCAGGTTCATTGAAACCTCCAATATAAATGTAACTACTAGGAGGTTCGGGTGGTTGCTCTAGGTTTAATCTTGAGTTCATTTCTGTCGATTTGTTGTCCTTGTATGTCCATGAGAGCACTGGGCGGAATTTGGCGGGCATTCGATGATGAGATCGACTTCTATGAGATAGAAATTGGGTTATCTCGCTCATTTCATGAGATTTAGTCTGGTAATCATAGAAGGTGCTCGATTTCTCCACATCCAAAACTTAGTGAAGATTCACAAGCACGAGCAGAGATGACGTGACAGGGCAGAATGTCCTAATCCTACGGGTGGAGTTGAACCTGGCCGAGGCATGGTGAGCCTAAAGATTGTCATTTTTATTGACTGATAGTTTCCAACACGTAGGTCAAAACTAAATATAACTAGTTCAGTTACCACGCACTGAATTTGTACCTACACGCTGGCTTAGATCTTGATGCAAAGAGGACCTAAATATTAAAAGCCATATCACAAGGCGAGCCATTATTCTTGACTAAATCGACAATTTAATTCACCATTAGATGTAAAGACTTACTCGCCAGAATTGCCAGAGGCAAGTAAACACATTAACAACAGGACACTCTATGTAGATAGTTTTAATAGTTAACGTTTATACATTTGCACAACTTCAAACTCTCAGCCGGGCTGAGCCAGTGTCTCAGTGCCACTGTCGAATCGAGGAGAGAGGGTAATGGGATTTCGACAGACTTGCACAAATGCGCAACGCTCATGGCCCCAGCCCTTATTCGATTTGCCACATAGTTCTTTCTTTCTATTTTTTTGCTTAATCTCATCGCCAAATGCTACCAAAACAGTCAGTCCCTTGAGAATTTTGTCAGCTGCCGAGACCCACGCTGACAAGCGAAGACATGGGTGGTGCCGAACAGCCGAGTAGACATGCTCGGCATCAAGATTGCGGCGATAACACAGAATTGATTCCGCCGATGTATCTATCCTGATAGACGGTCCCTCGCGAATAGATGAATTTGAAGAGACAATATCCGAAGAAAGGAGCGACCTCGTTGAGGTGAAGTTTATCGATAAGCTCCAGGTACTGGCGAGGCGCTAATTACCACTAACCGCGCTGGAGAACTGGCGATGAGCGCGAGCTCCACCGAAACGCTGCTACGAGGAAGAATCATCCGCGGGCTTGGCGGGGTTAGGACATAGCTCGCCTTCCAAGAAAACGCGAGACGCTCGCTTTCCAATCTCTAATCCCCATGATGCCTCGCGCGCTGGAAACGCGAGTTGCAGGTCCATCGTGCTTCGTCACCTGGAGATAACGAGAATCTCTGCAGGCTGCATCATGTCGTCGAGTATATAGTCCCCAATGCATCGCAAGTCTTGGCCATCTTCTCATCCCACCAGACTCCAATACAATACAATTAAAGTTTACAGTGACCATCTCTCAATACCCCCTCAAACAGGCAATCATCACTTCGTATCCCTCTCATAATCAAACATCGCAGCAATGGCCCCCGTCTTCTTCATCACCGGTGCCTCCAGCGGCCTTGGCCTGGTCCTCACCCTCCGCGCCCTCAGCGCCGGGAACAGAGTCATCGCTGCCATGCGCAATCCCACCCGCGCCGCCGAGGCCAAGAGCAAGATCGAGGCGGCCGGCGGACAAGTCTTCGCCCTCGACGTGACCGACTCCCAGGAGACCATCACCCAGAAATTCAAGGCCGCCGAGGCCATCTACGGCCAGATCGACGTGCTCATCAACTGCGCCGGCTACGGCATCCTGGGCCCCGTGGAGCGCTTCACAGAGAAGGAGGTGCAGCAGCTGTTCCGCACCAACGTCTACGGGCCCCTCTACCTCATCCAGGCTGCCCTGCCATCCATGCGCGCCCGACGAGCCGGCACAATCATCAACATCAGCAGCATGGGCGGTGCCGACGGCAGCCCCGCCAACGGCCTCTACGCGTCGACCAAGTTCGCCCTCGAGGGTCTCTCCGAGTCGCTCTCCAAGGAGGTGGCCGAGTTTGGCATCTCGGTCCTCATCGTAGAGCCTGGCGCCTTCCGCACGGGTTTCCTCTCAGCGCTGGTGGAGAACGAGACGGGCTTTGGAGAAGAGTACGCCAACAACGTGTCGGCAAAGGTGCTGGGCTTCATGAAGGGCCTCAACGGCAAGCAGCCGGGCGACCCAGAGAAGGCGGCGGACCGGATGATTGAGTATGCGACGGGCGCGGGGAAGGGAGGCGAGCTGAGGGGCAAGGTGCTGCGGATGGTGCTTGGCGGCGACGCCTTTCCCAGGATCCAGGCCAAGATCGAGAAGCAGCAGCAGGATATGGAGCTTGGCAAGGATGTGGCATACAGCACAAACTTGTAATAGAAGTGTCAGAGTACAAGTGAAATGGGGTGAAGGCGGTACATGTCAATAACGAGCATATCAAGATAGCAAATCAATACTTTGATACCATTAATACCAGACGCGAGGGGTGGCATCACGAGCCAATGATTCAGTAGGTTCTAGTTCAATTCTAGCTGCCCGTGATGCCTGAAGTAGGCTTAAAATTAAAGCTGCGGCATGTGCGTTCCATCCTGCTGTTCTCTCGGCTATAGCTGCGATGGTTCGGCAACGGGTGTCCGGGATCGGCCCCGGACCAAGATGCTGATGGAGGGTCGTGTGAGGCGAGAGAGAGAAGGTCGCTTTACGAGACGCCTCTTGGACTTGTTATTACGTGCTACCATCTCGCTTTGGTCCCGCTCCCCCATATTATTTACGTTGCACAGCAAGATGGGGAGTCATATCCCCCACGCGCCCTTCGGTGATTATCCGACCAGTGGCCTATTTGAAGGAGGGGCAGCCCGAGTCGAGTTCGGAGGGATCATCCAGCAGTAGCCCATCGTTCACAAGGCAAGACGCACATTATCGCAAACATGCCGTTGCCCACCTCGTCTATTTACCCTCCGCCCTCGGCCGACTTCTTCAAGTTCGCCTCGCGCCGGAGTGTCGTCCACAGCACTGAGGGCATCGTCGCCTGCTCGCAGCCCCTCGCGGCCAAGTGCGGTATCGAGATCCTCCATGCTGGTGGAAATGCCGCGGTAGGTCCATTCTCTTCGTCACCAGAGGGTCTGACAATACTAATATACTGATACAGGACGCCGCTGTGGCAGTTGGTATGTTGCTTTCAAACTGAGTTTAACAAAAAAAATTACTTGACTAACAGGAAACACCACAGCCGCCGGCCTGAATATCACAGAGCCTGTTTCTACTGGCATCGGTGGCGACGTCTTCCTCCTCTACTGGGATGCCAAGAAGCAAACCGTCCAGGCAATGAACGGGTCCGGCAGGTCTGGGGCCAAGTGCACGCTGGACACCATCCGCAACGACCTCGGCCTGAAGGACGGCCAGGCAGGCAAGATTCCCAGCAGAAGTGTTCACGCGGCGACAGTTCCTGGAGCAGCCGCCGGCTGGTACGACGCGCATGAGAGGTTTGGGAGCGGGAAGCTCACCCTGGCTCAGGTGCTGGCTCCCGCGATCAAGCTCGGAGAGGAAGGCTTCCCAGTTTCTGAAGTCGCCAGTTACTCGGTACGGACATATACTCCTCATAAGCTATACAGATGTCTTCTGATGAAATAGCTTGCTGACCTTGATATCACAGTGGCGCAGGCAAGAAGATCTACTACGAAAGGCGTCGCCCAACTTCGCCGAGATGCTCAAGCGTAACCCTCAAGCACCAGATGGCTACGAGGCACCAAAACCCGGTGAGATCATGAAGAACCCTACCCTAGCAAAGACCTTCCGAACCCTCGCAGAGGAAGGCAAGGAGGGCTTCTACACCGGCCGCATCGCCGAGGAGCTCGTCAAGGTCGTCCAAGATCTCGGCGGCCACCTTGAGCTCGACGACCTCAAGCACCATCTCGACAAGAGCAGCGAGCCCGTCGAGCCCATCTCCGTCAAGTTCAGCGGCCAGGGACTCTCCACTGAACACGGCGTCGAGCTCTGGGAGCACCCGCCCAACGGCCAGGGCATCGTCGCCCTCATGGCCCTCGGCATCATCCAGGAGCTCGAGAAGCAGGGCAAGATCCCAACCTTCAAGCCAGAGGACTTCAACACGGCTCCCTACCTCCA